CCCCAAAACCCCAAAACCCCAAAACCCCAAAACCCCTAGCATTCCTCATATTATTGAAATATTAAGTACTTTCTGAAAGATTCTCAGATTCTAAGAAAGCCCTTGACGGTCTTGGGTGACATTTCGTGTTAATGAAGAATGAAGTGGGCATCCTCTGAGGTTCAGAGGTCTGTAAATCAATGATGTTTATGACTGGCATATTTTTCTTAGAGTTAGGTTTGAGCTTTTTCAATAGGCTTTTAGAAGCATATTTTATCTCATTATTTACTGAGATATAGTACTTATTGACCTTTGGTGGCATCTATTACTTAGGAAAAGTTGCTTACCATTCTAATTGAGAAATATCTTTCTGTCTCTTCATCAAGTGTCAATAAATCAGGCTCATAGTCATCAAATGAATAATGAATGTACATTTTATCATCCTTCTTAAGGCTATGAAGTAATTTTGGAAATAAATCAGAAAGTCAAAATTCTACTTTTCTTTGAGTCCATCCTTCACAAATCCATCAGTTGGAGTTGACCTTCAGTGCATGTTTGGACTGAATCTTTCCTTTCTGGTGTTCAATCTTAGACAAATTTGGGGTAAAGTGAGAAGCTCCTGATTCTCCTTTTCCTTTTACCAAAAATCCAAGTGCATTTGTGTTCATTTCATTTCCGACCATATGTAGTCCAAAAATAGTGTGGTTCTGGTTAAGACCTATTGAAATTTCATCTCATTGATTTTCTGAAAATCTACAGTTTGAAAAGTTTCAATGACGAAGAGTCTGGTTTTCAGCAAACATCTCACTAAGAGATCTAGAAACTGTTTGTGGGGTTACCTTCTTTCTTCGTCCTTTATTTTTATGTTTGATATCTTTCTCTCCATAATTACCGATCGGGTTAAAGGATAAGTCAAGGATTTGTAGAGATTGATTTTCTTTTAATGATTCAAAAATATGCATTCCTCCTTTTGCTTGAATATTATTCCAACTGAGATTGAGACAGACAATAAATCAGCTTTTGTAAAGTATCTGAGCTACAGAAGTAGCACCTTTCTTTGTAATTAAGTTTTTAGATAGGTTCAAGTGTTCAAGCCTCTGGCTACAATTTGATATCTTTTCACACAATTTATCGCCAACATTATTCGCTTCAAGGTTGAGTTCTTTCAAAGTTCCACCTAGATTTTTGAACAGCGCATCAGTATTAAGATCTTTGATAAGTGGATTATAAGAGAGATCAAGCTTCTCCACCCTTGAAGAAATATGCTCAACAATCTTATTAGCACTTTCTTGGCTAAGCCTATTGTTATTTGAGAGAAAGAGAGTATTTATTCTTCTTGAATTTAAGGGTCTCTGCGAATACCTCAGCATAATCATCTCCCATGAGGCTGTTGTTAAGATCTATCTCTCCGATAGACTCTTTCTTCTGGGCAAATCCTTTAGGAATGGGAAGAATTCCTTTCTCTTTGCATAGATTGATATATTTGAAGAAAGGGGCATCTTTCTCCTCAGAATGATCATTCTTAATGGCCTCAAAGTACTCATCTCGAGTTTTGTTGCCAAAGAAAAGAGTGGAAGTATCGTTCATTCTTACTTGGGGGATTATTGAGTCATGCTCCTCTACCTTGTTGTACAGGTTTTCAAGAGAGGAATATTTATCAAAATTTGATTCTCTAAGTAAATTAAAAGGAATAAGTACTGATCAGCTACATATTGAGCAGTTTGTTTGTATCTCAGTTTCTTCAGGTCGTCTACTGATTGGGTATTTATCAAGTTCTTATTTTCTCGAATTACTTTTGTGTATAATTTTGGGGATCCAATCTGTTGTGTTAGTCTTCAATTGAAATTCATTAAGCTTCTTGGATCCAGCTCTGATTCTTTCTACTAAGTCATTAAAGATTATGGATTTATTTTTATAGTTAGCATTCTCTTGGATTTCCTTATTTCGACAAGAATGGGAACTCATAATTCTTTCTTTTCTTCAGCTAAAATTTTAAACTGTAAGTTACAGGGAAGGTGTCATTTTCTCATTGGTTGTAGACCCTGTCTAGGTATCCCTGAGTATGCAAAATTTTATTTTGAGCGATAGCAGAGATTTTATTTTAATCTTTTCTTCGCATTATTTTCTTCTCCTTCTTGGGCTTCCTTCAATTCTATATGATTTGGCCTAATTCATACCTTTATGAGATTTTGTTAGTGATTTGTACTGTAAAGATGATAATCCCAAATCATTATTAGATTTAAGCATTCCTAATCTCCTTGACTTTCTTCTGACCTACACATTGGAACTAGAAGGCATACCTTCTTTGGGGAAATTTCAACTACATTCTTTGAAAAGGATCCTTTGATTCTTTTGACTCTGTAAATATTCTTTACATATTCCATATCAAAATGGAGCTTCTCGAGCATCCTGTCTGTTTTACTTTTTCCTCTGTTTCTTTCCTTGGGATCAAACTCACTAATGAAGATTTTATTTCAGTACAATGTTGTCGTAGATCTTCTCATGATCATATTTTTCTAGAGAGTCTCTAGAAAGTTCAAACTAACTCTTACTCTTCAGTTTCGGAGTCTTGGTATCTGACCGTCTTCTTGATATTTGGAAACATTTTTATAAAATTACTATGAAATTTTCAAAAACCTTGGGGTTTTGGGGTTTTGGGGTTTTGGGGTTTTGGGG